GTACCCTCGTTGATTTGGTGTTGTTTTTAGGCAGTCGTCACTTCCACCCCCAGAGTGAGTTTCCCACTAGTTTCGCTTTTCCTTTCAACGGTGAAGTCCGAGGTAACAGTGGATTGCTTTCAGGAGAGTCGAAGTTTTCTTTGTCGAAGAAGTTGAAGCCTGAGAAGGCGAACGCCGCCATAGTAATGGACTTTTAAAGGCGCTATCGTGTTTTCTCCCAGTAAAGAACCCGCGCGCTGGCATTACTGTAAGATGTCGTGTGGAATCACGGGAGTGTGGGGAAGATGTCCGCCTTGTAACTGTGAATATGAACCGAGATAATTTACTTGCACCGGGTATTTGCCCAACACTAAATTGATTAAAGTTTTTATCGCAATCAACTACACAACAGCATCTAAATATCCACTTTCGAGTAAATACAGTCTGGACACTTTAGAGCCCGTGCTTAGCACTTTTATATCGCTCTTCAATATTTTTCCAGTTAGCTATTTTCCATATTGCCTTTACAAAGTCTGCGCGAACGTTTTTGTATTGGAGGTAATAAGCATGCTCCCACACATCAATGCCGAATAGCGGTACGAGCCCTGAAAATATGCGTTGCAGTAACAATGGAGAGGACCAGAAAACATACCAGTAGTAGCTTCAAGTGTATCCTGGTTGAATGTTACTGCTAGCTCCAAATGCTTAGTCTCCTTGTTGTAGCCAAGCCAGCCCCATCCAGATCCTTGCACGGCAATAGTTTTATTGCTCAGGAGCTCCTCCATCTTCTCCACAGAACCGAAATCCTTTTTAATGGCTTCCAAAACCTCTCCTTGAATACCAGTACGGTAACTGCACGTTTACTAACAAAGAGAAAACCACAAATATAATAAGAAACGGACTAACCGCATGGTTCCCCTCCGTCCTTGGCCAAATTTGTCCAGAAAATACTATGGTTTAAATGACCACCTCCGTTGAACTTGACAGCACCCGCAAATTTCGTCACTGACTTCACGCAACCTGAACGACGGCTCATACAGTAAGTAAAATTTAATTTGATGACATTTGACCTGTATCACGGAAACTACTAAGATAACCTTTAGCAGCAGCTTCACACAACTGCTCCTCAGCCTGATTCAGATTATTTACGTATGTCAAGTGGTGTTTTTTATGGTGCACTTGCAGAAGACTGGCAGAAATTATTGGCTCCAGATCCCCATAGTCATATGGCAAGTCTGGCAAGGTATGTTTCAGCTTCGTGCTGACCAACAGAGGCACCCTAAAGGCTCTTGGACTTAACTCTAAGGAGCGAGAAAGAAAAAACAGTCAAACACTGTTAGCTGAAAAGTGCCACGGAATTCAAATTAACTGAAGGTACTTCGAGTGGTTCTCACTTTTGGAGTCTTAAGTATTCTGCTTAAGTTAAAATGTGGTTTAGGTATACTCATCAAAGTTGAAAATGTCCTAATTTTAATCGTCAACCACAACCCCTAAAGCGACCCAAGCGTTCTAATTTATCTGTAGCCTAGATGTATGTTGATGTTTTAAAAAGCGTAATTCTTGACACTTTAAAAAAAAGTTTAAGACATCAGAGAGAACTTACGGACCTTCGGACTGCTGATAGTGTGCTCCTCAATGTCGCGGCCATCAATGGGGAGGTAAACAGTTCCCGTGTGAACCAATTAGTGTATAATATGTGCAGTGATGTCCAGTCTAAAGATGGGCAAAAAAATTATCGAAGGACATATGGGTGTTACACCAGACTATAGCCTTACACCACGGACCCCCCAGTAACACGCAAGTACTTAGAGCTTTCAAAAAAAAAAAAAAGAATCTTCGTCACAAGTGAACATCTGAAGTTTCAGGTGCAGAAGTTGCAAGTGATAAGCCCATTGCACAGCTACAAAAAAACTACTACTGAAATTTAACCAAATGAAAATTAAAATGAGCATAATACGGAAGCAACTCCGCAGGCCAGCTAGACTTTTACTAAAAAAACAGAACTGGGATTAGAAGTATGAAATAAGAAGAACACCGACAATTCAACAACAGCTGGAATTTAGCTGGGTGAGATTGCACAACTGCATGAGACGTCTGTTGTTAAGTATGCCGGTGTCGGTCCAAAGTACATTCTTCTAATTTGTGTCAGTGCTCTGGAGGTGGCAGATTGCCAGTTAAGACCGTTTACCTCCGCTTAAGAACAAGATATATGATAACTGATTCTTGGAGCCAATACATTTTGAGGCCCATAGTCGTCTATATTTGACACGACAATCCTTTAAGCAACAAATCCTGGGGCTAGTGCTTGTCGCGCAATTTTGAGTGCATACAGTACAAGTCAAATATGAAGAGTCTAAAACGTTGACGCTTTCATGGAACAGAAGAATGTTCAGAAGAACTTCTAGCACGAACAAGAAAACAGAGAGACAAACAAAGCAGCCTCTACCGACCAGGATCAAAACGAGCAACCGGTCCCCAGTTAATTTGAAACAGTTTTAATTATAGACGCCGTCATTTCTAATTTCCATTTCGTGGCAGG